GGTTGAATACTCCCAGCTCTCTCAGTCTCTCCTCATATGTCAGATGTTCTCGTACCTTAATCATCCCCATGGCTTCTGATGGACTCAGAAGTGCGCCCAGGTCTCTCTTGCACTGGAGAGCTCAGAATGGGATCCAGCACTCCAGATTGTCTCATCAGTGATAAACAGAGGGGAGGGATCACCTCCTTGACTTGCTGGCAATATTTTCTGTCATACAGCCCAGGATGCTATAGGCCTTCTTTGATAAAAATGAGTATTGTTGGCTCAAGGTCACCTTCTTGTGCACCAGGAGCATTGGGATATTTTCTGTTAATCTACTTTCCAGACAATTGGCTCCAGTCTACAATACTGCATGGGTTTCTTCCTCCCCAGGTGCAGGATTTTCCAGTACACTTGCTGAACTACCTCAGCAATGAAGTTCCTGTAAACTCACTTCTCCAGACCCTTGAGGTCCTTCTGAATGGCAGCACAATCCTCTGATGTATCAACCACTTCTAGTCTTGTGTACACTGCATCAAGGGTGATCTCATTCTCATCCTCCAGGTCATTTGTGAAGTTCTTGAATAGTATTGACCCATAACCACTAGTGACATGCTTTTGGACGGACTTTGTGCTGCTATCACAGCTTTTTAATAAACCTTACATTTCAGACATTTTCAATTTGTCTTAGCTGCAGAAGGCCCTCTCTCTAGATTTCACTATAGGTGGGTTTTTGCTTTTCTACTTGCACATACAGAGAGTGTCTCTGTATTCCTGCAAAGTCATCTCTCCCCACTTTCATCTCTACTGAGTTCCTTATTCATCCCTGTAGGTCTCCAGCTATCTTTGTTTGATTTCCTGCTCATCAGGATGGGCTACTCTTGAACATGTAGGAGGCAATCCTTAAAAATCAACCACCCTTCCTGGACCTCTCTTGTCTCTGGGATCATAACCCATATGATTCTTCCAAAAATTTCCCTGAAAAGACCAGAAGTATTGCCATACATAGGAGATATGAGTCTGAGTCAGACACAAAATGCCTATTGCAATATTCAGAAATTAGCAGACTACGTAGGATCCCTTTAAAAACTGCTAACTTGAAAAGGAAGTTATTATGGAACATGAAAACACTCAAGAGACAATATGATAGCTAAGATTGTCAGAAGAATCTTAATACTGCCTCTTAAAAAAACATATTTTCTGATAAATACTTATACAGTAAATACACCATCTCAAATTAATCAGTTTCATGTCTTAAGTATCCTAAATTGTAAAGCTTGGTATGTCACTTTAATATAAACTCTATAGAATTCATCAGTGTGAAATGTAGAGAATAAATTCCCTATGAACTATCCCACAGATACTTTAAGAAGTTGGAGGAAAAAAATGAGTAGAATTCTACTGGAGATATTAAAATGATGCAAACAAACTAAAAAAGGCACAGGAAAGGCAACAAAGCTGTTCCATGGGCTTGGAACCATTCCATAGAGAAAAAGTCTTAGCGTGGTTGGAGTCCTTGGCTTGGAAGAAAATGACTAAAGATATGACAGCTGACCATAAAGTCATAAAACACATGGAGATTCTGCATCTGAAATGCTGATTCTGTTTTTTCCAATCCGAAGTTAGGGACCACCCTCTGAGATTGATAAGATAAAGGAAGTAGTTTGCAAGCAGTGCATAATTACATCGTGGAATGGACTGTTAATGTTTTGGGTCACTGGATACTAGGGAGCTTAAAAATAAAAGCGAGAGAGAGAATATGTCTATTGATTAGTGGCCAGACTTCTTAGTTTGCCTCAGGAAGACCACAGACTTCTTCATACTAGGCCACTTAATATTTCTCCCAACTCTTACACCCCTCCTACAAACTTCTGCTATTTGCCGTATTGGGAGGTAGGAAACTGGGTCACAACGGCTTTTGTTTGATCCACCGTCGCACACCTTAGTTTCTTACAACTTTTACCTGGAGTCATGTACTTTTAAATTCAGTCTAAGCTGGAAAATGCTGTTTAGATTGTTCAGGAGCAATATTTCCTGTTCTATTGTATTGGATCTGTCTAGGATGGAGGTAACGTTCCCCATTGCAGTACTCATAGTGCTGTACTTTGTATTCGTAGCTAGAAGGGTGTTAATAACACACCAGCGTTTTGGTCACTGCTGAGCTGTGCTAGTGTAGCATCAAGTTAGCCTCTTCAACTTCCCCCATAAAGACCTGTGGGCTTGGGGGACAAGAGGTTTAGAGGGCACATAGCCAGGATAGAAGACCCAAACTGTCCAAAAGGCATATTCCATACTGTATGATCTTGTCCTGAGTAATAAAAGCTAAGAGAAAGGAGAAGGAGGGTAACATTCATTATAAAGACATTTGTCTTCCAAAGTAACTGCTGTGCATATTGGGGCTCTGCTTTCTAGGAAGTGACTGGACATCACCTTCTAGTGGGAAGTAGAGAATAAATCCTTTTTTTTTCTTTTTTTTTTTGCTTTTCTTTACTTCCATGTGCAGCCTTTGCTTTTCTTCATTAAACTGCTATTATCTTGAACCACAAGTTTTTAATCTTATACTCTCCTCCTTACCTGAGGAGGAAATGAATTGAAAGAAGATCTTGATAGGCACTTGGTTGGCAGCCAGGGTCAACCTAGGAGCCCTAGAGTGGGGATCTAGAGGAATTCAAAATAATGATGGTAATTGCAAAATGTACTGGGAGTATGGACTGGACATTGCCAGGCTCTGGAATTGTGGGGATTTTTTTTTTTTTGTAATTGTGATGGAAGGATGAGTTGTGAAGTGTGTGTAAACTGTCTTTAAAAAGTCTTCACAGGAGACTAACCTTCAAGGTATGCACTGGAGAACAGATTCTTAAATAAAGATAAGGCCAGCTTTTACATGTATGCAACAAGTGGCAGGTCTATTTACCAAAAGAGACCCTGATACAGGGAAGTGATGCTCCTTTAGATTTGTTTTTGGTCAGTAGCTAAGACATTAGAGAAAATTTAATTTTCTAGGAAAAGAAAATAAGTTAAATCTAATTTGCTTCAGTCTCAGTAAAATGCCTGATTTGACTGCTGTAAGAAAAATTATCAGGTTTTCTTAAGAAAGGGAAGCTGGCGGTTAGTAGAATAATGGAAAACTCAGGTTTTCACACAGAATACCAGATGAGCTCATACCAGTTACTGATGTCACAAACTTAAGAAGTGCTGTCACTTCAAAAGAGAACTGGGCTAGCATTCAGGAGGAAAGGGGTGACCTTGAGAAGTAAGGTAATTGAAGCAGTAAAGCACTCAGTAGAGCAAACCAAGATTTTATGCAGAAAACCTAAATCCCTGAAGATGAAACGTGATTTGTTTATATAGTTAGTTATTTGGTACATTACGTGCAATAGCTTGCAACAAATCTGAGACCTGCTCTGGTGCTCCTGAACAGTCCTTTCCCTGTTCATAGACTTTGTTTAAATAGCATAGTCCCAAGTACGGATAAGGAAAGCTGCTGTTAGTCCTGGAGAAGCTTCTGTTGTGTTTTAGAGAGGGAGTCACTTCTATGGGATCACTTGAAAGCTCTGTGAGTTTACACTCAAGTTAGCAGCCACAGAAGAACAGGTAATACCAACCACATTTGGCTGAGAAAAGGACAAATGTTTATTCTAGGCTGAAAATTTAGGTTTTGGACTATTTTACTACTGTATGTTTGTTCACAGTCCAATCTTCACAGAAAAGTGAGATGGAAAGAGATGGTTTGCTGCTAACAACTCTACTGGTCTTTTATACATATGGTGTCTGCCAGCACATGGTGGTTGCACAGCAAGCATCCAGCAGAGGTCAGAGACTTTTGCGGCTTTCCAGATTTTGTCTTTGTTAGTGTATCACTTGATTTGAAAAAGTATTTCTGGGCAGTGAGGATATGCAGCTTTGGGTCCAGCTGGCAGGCTTCTGTAGCGTCAGCACAGCCAACACTGCTTGCAGTCTCAACACTGAAATTCCTAATTTCAGTTTTATATTTTGTATTGAGCTTCTGCAGACCAAACCAGACAAGACACCTACTGTGTCCTTACATGCCTCTGCTGCTGTATTTTATGTAGAGCTGCCTCTGCTCTCAGTTCTGCCCCTTCAAACATCTGGGCTCATAAGGTATAAAGAAAACTTTTCCTTTAAACTTTCTTCTTTAGATCAAGTATCAGTCAGTATCATGGCCATGCCACAGAGGACTGTAACTTTCTTTTAATGTTCAGTTCTCAGACCAAAGATGAAACTTGCCTTTTTTTCCTGTAAAGCAGGACAGTCTTTACATAAGACAGTGGCAGGCAACTCTTATCCAGACATAGCCCAATTTCCTTTGTCCTTGAGAAATGTTTGGGCACAAACAGCAAATTATCATTGATTTTTATTTTGCTATCCATTTCCTGCATCTTGAGTCTGCTTGAGATCACAAACTCAAAATTAAAACACTACTGAGTTAGTATGCTCTTCACTGCTATTTTTTTCCCCTACATATAATTTCTAACATGACATAAGAACAACCCAACATTTAGGTTGGGTTGAACAATTACACAAAGATGGCAAATAGCTTCGTACATATGCCTGGTTACTTTCCTGTGGTATTTTAAAACCCAAAAATGTATTAAAAACCAAATGTGCATTTGGTCTTAATCCTAGTGTCATGTCTACTCACCTTATCTAAGGATGCAACTGTTGTTTCAGCTGAACACTGCATCACTCACATTGAAGAACCCTCCTGTTCCTGGTCCTTCTGGAGCAAAGCCTCTGTGTGCTCACTTGGGCTGCCTGTACAAGCAGGCAGCATCCCAACATGATCTCTGGGTTCTCTGCCCAGAACATCACTTCGTTTGCCTCTTCACACATACAGTCAGTTCCTTCAGCTTCTTCTGCTGCCTTTCTTCTGCACATCTGTAGGTAGAACCTATTCCTGCTCCTTTTATAACCAGGAGGGGATTTATTACTTTGCATGCATTGTTTGACAGAAGTAGATATTGTTTTATTCCACTGCAAAAGTCATTCATGAACAAGGATGAAATATGATCTTAATCTTTATTCAGACAGAGCTCAAAATCACAGCAGTAGATTTCAGAAAGCAAGGGCTGAGGAGAAGTAGCAGGACTGAATTACGGATCATGTTTCCTAGAAGGAAATGGTATTCCTGGGGGTGAGGTGCTGTGCATTAGCAAGGTTTTGATGATGCTGCAGTCACACATTCTCAATATATACCGGAGTTTCCAATTTTCATGCTCTTCTCAGATGTATTTCACAATGTAGAAGGGTGACGTAGGGATGGTCTTAGAGGTGATGTAACACTGCAGAGTAACAGAAAGAAATGAGAGCTCTGTCTTTTAATGCAATAGAAGCCAGTGAAATAAGTCTTAGGCACACTGTGGTGTGGACACCATTGGCCTTCCTGGCTACCAGGGCACTGCTGGCTCATATTCAACTTGTCATGAACCAGGACCCACAGGTCCCTTTCCCGGCACTGCTTTCCAACATCTCATTCCCAGTCTGTACAAACATCCAGGGTTGCCCCATCCCAGATGCAGAATCCAGCACCTCCTTTTGTTCAACCTGATATGGTTGGTGATTGCCCAGTTCTCTACATTGTTGAGGGCTCTCTGCAGGGCTTCACTGCCTTCAAGGGAGTCAACAGCTCATCCCAGTTTTGGGTCATCTGCAAACTTGCTTAGTATCCCTTCCAATCCTGCATCCAAGTCATTTGTGAAGATGTTGAAGAGCATGGGGCCTAAGACTGAGCCCTGTGGAACCCCACTAGTGACAGGTCATCACTCTGATGTCACCTCATTCACTACTACACTTGAAAATTGGGACAATGTTCACCAACTTCCAGTCAGCTGGGACCTCTCCATAAATTCAAGATTGCTCAAAAATCATTGCCAGAGGTTTTACGAGGACATCAAAGAGCGCTTTGAGGATTCTGGGATGAATCTTGTCAGGCCCCATAGATTTTCAGGGATCCAGCCAATCCTGAACAATTTCAGAATGAACTGGGAACTGATCATTCTCACAGCCATGGTCCTCCAGCTCAGGGCACTGAGACCATGGTGCACCATCTGGTCAAGGACAGAGGCAAAGAAAGTGTAAAACACCTCTACCTTGTTTCTGTCCCTGTTTGTGAGGTGACTATCCTCATTCTGTGACTGGTCAATCATAATTTTATACCTCATGTTGCTGTTAATGTATTTTTAGAAGTTGTTTTCCCCCACAATTCTGTCAGTTTCACCTCCAGTTGAGCTTTGGACAAATGAATTTTCTCCCTACAGCAGCAAGTAGCATCTCTAAATTCTTCCCACGTCACTTGACCTTGCTTCCATTGGTCATACACCTTCCTTTTTTTCCCTTATTTCCTAGAGAAAATTCCTATTCATCTGCAGTTAATTGAAAAGACCACCAGACAAGACAAGAAGAAGGAAACTCCCCATTCTTTTACTGATGTCTGCCAGATGTTTTATATCTTTGCAGGACTTTACAGGGCAGTTCACAAGATAATTACCTCTGTGTATAACATTGAAGAAAAGGTACCTTGTTGTTGATTTCTTTTTCTTAAGTAGAATATTTCCCTCCCTTTCTTTCTCTAGTGTCAAAGAGCACCCAGACCTTTTCAATTCTTTATGGCTGCACTAAAATCACAAAGATCCAGTTGATGAGGAAATCTTTGGTAGAATGTGTATTTTGCATTGAAGCACTGTTCATAAGGAGGGGGTTTAGGAGCTCAAGGGATAGCAATTAATTATTTAGTTTCACTTGATAAAAGCTCCCTAAATTCATAGAAAATAGTTCTGCAGAGAACTGAAGAAGGAATTTTTCATACCCTACAGAAAAATAAGGTTTCATCTAAGTTGTTTGTTGGTTTGTTTTATTTTTTAAAAGTCAGTGTAAAAATCAGCCTAAGCTCTGGCTATTTTTTATTGCATTTGCAGACTGATAAGCATTATGTACGTGCCCATCCTATTCTTCCAACCCTTGAAAAAAAGGAAATCAGAATTAAAATAGGCTAGTAAATATAGTTATACCTACTTTTCAGTTTTCAGATCTTCAAACAGATTTCCTCATGTATGTAAATTCTAGGATGGACAGCCCTATGGGTGACCACCAGCATCAAAACCAGTACACAGCTTCTTCCTGTTGCATATATTGAAAGACTTGCTGAGATTAATCCCTGAAATGGGTTTCATAAAGCAAGTTCAGAATGTTAGCTGGAAGCATGAATGCTCTTAAATCAAAGTTTCCTGAGCTCATGGTTTTTGAAGTATCAAATGATGAGAAAATTACAGCAGAGAAGGATAGGTAATAAAACAACTGCTCCCTCAAAATCCAGGTCAGGGCCTTATGTTAATTCTATATTCACCATCCTATCTTTCAAACAACTTTCACAAAACTGAATGGAGAGGAGTGATTAAATGCACATCTGGCCCTGAAATATTATTTCTTGATGTTATAACTTAAAAAGGACACCTACAAGTAGCAATTGTGATATAGTTACTGTGCAATAAATTCTGTTCTTCTGTCAGTACCCACTGAGCAGGGAGAGGGGAGGAGACTGAACTGAGACTTCATCTCATTCACACAGCCTGATTATATATGGGATTTAAATCCAGCCTCGTTCCACTTTATATTTTCATTTCCATTCAGTTTTCAGTGGAGTGTTCCTGTGTTCTTGAGAAAAAAGGAGGACATGATTAGGTAAGAGAGCGAAGCATGCATTCGTTTGCAGAAAGCAGTATCATCTCTTTCCTAAAGCTGATTAGTTATTGTTCCTTTAAGTAGCACTAACTCTGCTCACGTGCTTTGCAATCCAAACCATAAGGTACAGACACTTGCCAAATGCCAGTGCAGCAGCCCACCAATGCCATTCATAAAAGGCAAAGTCTGAAAAAGCTCCAGCAGAGATCCTCTGAGGAGACTGAATCTTTGGTTCAGGTTTTCAGGAATTCTCTTTCTGAGGAGCTTTTTTAGTGGCCCTGGCCCCTGCCAGCTCATGCTCATTCACTTGATCGGTCAGTGGTGTCCTGATTAATTTATTTGATCAGCCTGTTTTTATACAGGGGAGAAATGTAAACATAACTATGATTATGCTTATCTTGTTGTCACATTAAAAGGGGGAGAAAAGAAGAATTTTCTGTCCAACCTGTATTAATTTATTTTTTGTCAATCAGTGTCCCCTAAGGAGATCAAAGCCTTTTCATGTTTAAAACAGTCTATTAGTGTCTCATTAGGTGAGACCCTTCACTTATCAGGTTCACTGAGACGGACGAAGACATTTGATACTTTTTTTTTATAGAGACTACACTTAACAGTGATAGGGAAATCCTTCAGCAAGTTTCTTCTATGAGTTATTTCATCTTCAGTGAAACTGTCAGCACCTAGAAATGGACCCACTCTAACAGTTCATGGAATAACATGCTTATTAATACAAATTTGTGACAATTTATAGGGTTCATTTCATCTGGAATAGAGTCTAACTGCAAAAACATATCTAAACCATGTAGTAATAATAATAAAGCAAACCTAAGCACAAAATTTAAAGCAAAGCAACTTACCAAGAATACTATGAAGTAAAATTAAACTCTAGTTATTTAGAAGCAAGGAATTAGCATGCAGAAGATATGTCTCACCTTTCAGGTGTCCCCAGAAGTGGAGGGAGAAAGACTAGCTCATCAGCTGTCTCTCGCATGTCTATAGAAATTTTCCTCCCGATTTTGCTTATGTCCAATATATTTTTATACCTTTTTTCTTTAGGCAATTTGAGTGGCTATAGTCAATAAACTAATTTTGGGGTAACAGACAAGTGACATAGGCCCAAGGGTTGTTTTCCTGTGTTCCTATCTGGCAGGATGTTTGCAAAAAAAGGCTGTGTTATCTCCATATCACTCCTTTCTTCATTTAATCCTCTTATTAGTTTCTGGGAATGTCTCCCCAGGAGCTGGGGTCTTCCAGGAAACTAGCAGGAGTCTTTTCTACATTTGTATAGTCTTGTCTATCACCTTACACTTGTGCTGATTTTACACAAGTTTCTGTATGCTCAATTATTTTTTTCTGAACAGGCTGTTTGTGCCATAGCAGCCACATTTGGGATTTCGATTCAGCACTGCTGTATGGGAATGTTTCATGTTTTACATGTTTCACTGTGTTAATCACCCTCAGTAACATAAAACTGAGAGGACAAGGATAAAAAGGACAAAGGACAGTCTGTAAGGACAATCTCCTCCTTTATGTCAGTTTGGAGGGAGAGCCTTTAAATAAAGGCAGTCAGCTCCACAGGAAGCCTCTTCCCCTGACAAGAAAAAACAGGGATCTTGAGCTTCAGTTCTTCTCAACCAGTTGCTTTATGAGATCCTTACTGGGCTAAAAGGTGAAATGTAGAGCAGCAGCAACTGGGGGAGAGAGTGAGGGCACCAGATTGAGGGAGTTAGGGGCCAGCTGCAGCCACCTAAGGTTTCCCTCCCTCCTAAGGGAACCACCAGGAGCCCTCCGAAAACCTTTCTCTGTTCCCATGGAGACTTGAGAGCAGCAATGAGCATGGCAGGGGCAGACATTTACTGCCTTTGAGTCTCACCATACATCTTGGCCTCATCAGATAAGGAGGGAGCTATGAACAGATAGATGGGGGATTCTTCTGGTGTCTATTAGTATTTTAACAAGATAAAAAAAGGAGAGACACAGTACCATAAAGGATATTAGATTAATTTCTTCCTTTGTCTGCTACTGTGTTACTGTCTGTTTACATAATTAAATCACTGGAGTGTGTCCAGTCTCACAGTCTTGTAGCGTATCTGATGCCAACAGGAGGCTGCCCAATATTCATTATTAGTAACTGGCTAAAGCAAATGGTGACACTTGTAAGCTGCTTTGGTAGAACTTTTTTAAAATACTCAAACATAGAAATGCAGTCACATGCTTTTTTTTTTTATGTGTGTATAAAAGTTTGTAGTGCTCAAAAATTTCTTTGTGGGCAGTTTGTAAGCATGAGATTGCCTAAAAAATTAATCTATACACCCAGATTATTTTACTGAACAGCAATTCCTACAGAAAGTCAATAATGAACAGATAGATCATAATCTGAAATTTTGGTCCAAGGCCTTTAAAAGGGAGTGTATAGGTAACAAACACAAAGAGTGTATGCTTATACAAATTTTAAAACAAATGTTTTGTGTTATTTGCATAAACATGAGGCTCATGTATGGATACTCCAGTATGGGTATCTCTTAAAAAGAACTTGAACAATATAGTGATAAGGACAATTAGTTGCAGTCATCAAATCAGTTAATAACCAAAAAATGTGCTGCGAGCATCACTGAAGACAGATAGATATTGAGGAAGTTCATAAAAATCCAGCCTTGTCCTAATTTAGTCATTAGTTATTTAGTAACTTAATATCACCAGTAGACAATGAGCAAAATTAAGAAAAATGAGCGTTACGCAGACAGGACTATATGGTTATTTAAATGATATGGAAGCACGTCGTGATAGTTCTCTTTGGAAATAAGCTGGCAATGAACACTAGTATGTCACAACATACCACAGATTGATTTCAGTTCAGCCAACCTCAGATGTAATGATTAGTACAGATGATATTTAATGCTGCAATTTGCATACTGTGAATTAATGCTCAACCTGGGTGGTTACCATAAGTAAGCCATTCATCTCTCTCCTACATCCCTTCATCTGCAGATATTCAGGCACAACTTTAAACCAGTTCTCAGTGAGCAATACTCACTACCATGATGAGTAATAGGAAACGAAATGTTAAATTCGAAAGCAAAGAATAAGCACCAACTTTATGAATTTATCATTCAAATCAAGTAATTTAAGTTATCAAAGTCTGATCTGAAAACACTCATTATTTATATCTCCATGTGAAACTTCATGCTTTCATGAAACAGCTGAATATACTGGCATTTGGAAACCACTACTCAACCTCAGGTTTTACAGTAATTAATTTTAGTTCTGACAGGGTAAGCAATATTCTTGGGTTTCTTTAAGCCTTAAAAAATGGTTAGGTTTGATTTCATATTTTTCTTGTGAAAGAACTGTGGAAATATATATTCCAAGGGAACCAGGGCAAAATATATATTCCAAGGGAACCAGGGCAGATTTGTGGGTAGCATCAGTGGTACAGGAAATGTAATGATGCTATACCATCCATATATTTGATTGAAAAATGTATTTTTCAGCTTTTTGCTTACTGGTTGCAGTGGTAGATGATAACTGCTAAGCATGAAAAATATAACAGACTCTTGAACTTTGAAGATCTCAGCCTGAAGATATTTAGTATTTTAAATAGTTGTCTTAATATTTTTTTTTGAACTTTAGAGAAGCTAAGGATTTTCTGGTAACAAACGGAGTTTTGTAATTGTGGGTTTGGGTTGTATGACACATTTTGTAATTATGATCAGTCATCACGGTCTATAATGTCTCTCATCCTAGAATTTTTATCTTTATTTCAAAAATGTATGAATTTATATACCAGGAAAATTATAGGTCCAGGTGTATGGCTACCAATATTCAAAAATCCTCAAGCCCTTGCTGTGCTGTGCTGTTATCTTTTAGATATGACTCCCCTGAATCTTTTAGATAGGACTGCTCTCTCTTTGATTCTAAACACTGATACTTTAAATATTACCTCCAAAATGCAGTAGTACATATTTTCAGAGGCATCATATAATTTAGACAAGTATTCTTTAAATACAATTTCTTTCTACCAGGTATTCTTCAAATATCGTTGTTTCTTTCTACAACATTTTGTTCTGGGGTAGGGATTCTCACAAGGAAGAAAAAGCAACAAAATGTTCATCTTTTGCATTCAGCTAACCTTGGATCACAATACATAATCTACTTCAAGGATTACAGCCAACACCTGAGTTCTAAAAGAAGTCAGAGGAAATGTCTTCTCTTGTTGTGATTTTTATTGTGATAAGAGCACTGTTTAAAACTGTTTAAAACTTTCTGTATGTACATGGAAGAAGTCTTGATGCAGACCCAACACAGCATCGCTGGGTTTATCCAACAGACCATGCAAATGGACCAATCTTATTCAGTGACACTCACTGCCAGAGTAGCTCCTTGAATCTCCTCTATATTTTTACTTTAGAGAGACTGTGATCAATATGTCTACCTTC